TTTCTTATCAGGCCATTCTTATTCAGACCACCACAGTCAGGAACTGCAAGGTGTTGGGAATTTCTAAGATGAGACTGGCTTTTTTTCTTGACCTTCTAAATTTATATTGGTTTTTGAACTCATGACTGAGAGAAAATACAGCAAAATTACTGTAATTTGATGTGTAAAGTGTAATAAAGGTGTGCCTTAAATTTGAGGGAGGGGAATCAAGTAACATAATAAGAAACACAAACATTAGGGAAATAATTCTCTGGAATTGAGAAGCAAGGTGACAATATAGTAGGGGGAAACTCCGGGAGCAATTAAAATATTTAAGCTGTAATTTGGAAGGAAGCCTAAGACTTAAACATTGAGTGGTTAAAATAGTGGTGAATTTTTCAGGCCAAAGAAATAGCTATGAGTTAAGCATGTGAAACACAAAATTGCACTTGTTGGGCAGTATGTGGTACTTAACCTGTCTTAGGAATGGGTATATAATGGTGAGGATGACTAGTTCAGTCTCAGTCCACAGGTGTCTCAGTCAGGGTTTCTATTGCTGTGAAGAGACACCATGACCATGGCAGCTCTTATAAAGGAAAACATTTAATTGGGCTGGCTTATTGGTTCAGAAGGTTAGTCCATTATCATCATGGTGGGTGCACGGTGGCACTCATAGAGCTGGAGCAGTAGCTAAGAGCTCCATTCCGTTCTGCAGGTAGAAAGAGACTCTATATATGGTGTGTGCTTTGGAAACCTCAATGCCTACCCCTAGTGACACACTTCCTCCATCAAGGTTTTACCTCCTAATCCACTCCCTGGTGGTGAAGCATTCAAATATTTGAGCCTATGGAGGCATATTTATCAAGCCACAACAGGTGCTTGTAATATAGGAATTAAGCAGTGACAGTGAGAGATACCAAGTCAGTAGGAGCGTTTTCCCTTCCTCCAGTCTGAAGATTGACTCTTGGGACTTGAGCATGCTGAGCAGACACTTTATTACTCAGATATATCCTAGCCGTAAGAAAGAGGGATGTGTGAGCACACACACATGCACACACGTGTGTGCAGGTAGGTAGCTCTTCCTGAATTGTTCAGTCTGGCATTGAATTTATGATCTTCCTGTCTCAGTCTCCCACGTAGCTAGGATTGCAGGTGTTCACTACTTTGCCTAGCCAAGATTTATGCTTACCTTTTTGTTTTCCTTTTCTTTTTTGACCATACAGTGGATTTTTTTCTCCCTTCTTCCTTTTCTCCATGAATAAATTATCATTGCTTAAAAGTAAGGCTTTGCACACTGAGTCCATGACTGTTTTTCATTTTTTTAAGTTCACAATCGAATAGCAAGTACCACTTCTGGAAGAGAATGATAGCTTTCCAGTTTAGATGGGATTAGTTGTTCTTACCTAACCTTCTGTATGCCTTTGGGGGTGTGAGTGCCTTTCCTCTGTCAATGCCCTCTTATGTTTTCTGTAGTATATTTTATTGGGAGAAAATGCAAATAAATATATAATGCGTTTAGGATAATATACCTTAAAAACAAATGTCTTTGAGTTCAGACAGTAAGTACTCCTTACTGAATACTGAGTACTGTATGCAGCATACTTCATACCGTTTTTTTCTCTTTTGAGTTCTTTTACTTCCAGATTCAGAATTTAAATACAACTTCTTAGTATAATTGGAGTCCTACTCGGATCTTTGATTCCATCCACCCATGAGCAGATGCTCTTTATCTGGAAAGTGTCTATTCAGTGACTATTTATTAGCTGGGTATAACCTCAGCACTTGGGAGGCTGCTGTACGGCTATTCCTGTGGGTGGCAGGCCAACCTGGGTTACAGAGTAAGACCTTGTTTCAAAACCAAACCTTCCTCCATCTTTTTATTTGTATTTATACATATGAATAAGTGATGACTATTGACAGACATGAAAATTCGCTGCTTTATATGGAGATATAATAAATTGAGAGAGACATTTAAGAAATAACTCCAGAGGGGTTCTCAACCTGTGGGTGACTATGCACATTGGGTTGAATGACCCTTTCACAGGGGTCATGTAGCAGACATCCTGCGTATCAGATGTTTATATTACAATTCATAATAGTAGCATATGAAGTAGCAACAAAATAATTTTACGATTGGGGGGTCACCACAGCATGAGGAACTAACTGTATTAAAGGATCGCAGCATTAGGAAAGTTAAGAACCACTGCTCTAGAGGAAGTAAATGTTCAATACCAATGATTCACATGAATTTCAAGGCTGCTCAAAATTGCAGCAGTGGCATAGAAAATAGAAAGGGCACAGAAATAACTAAGGAAAGGTTTGGGGTAATGTTATGTTTGGTAAGACTTGATTTAGTATGTCTTTGCAATAATGAGAAGGGTTGATACTTTAAAAAATGATTTTGGGATATTAAAACTAGCTACATTTTATAGTTAAGCTGTTTCAAACTTTAAACATTTTTAAAACTATGAGCGCTGAGTCCTTTGACTTAAGTGGAACAGTTTTTCTTTCCCCAGATATTTGCATCTACCTTGTGAAATGCATTGTCTTCTTTCTCTCTTTCTCTCTCTTCCCCCTTCTCAGATTACTCTGCTCACCAGATGTCTGGCAGCTCTTCTTGCAGCATTGGCCATTGGTTTTCACTGCCTTCACAAGATCAGAATTACTCCAGAAATTGGAGAGTTTGATTTAAAAGAACAAACTTGAACAAATGGACAATATGTCTATAACAAATACACCGACAAGCAATGACGCCTGTCTGAGCATTGTACATAGTTTGATGTGTCATAGACAAGGTGGAGAAAGTGAAACGTTTGCAAAAAGAGCAATTGAAAGTTTGGTAAAGAAGCTGAAAGAGAAAAAAGATGAATTGGATTCTTTAATAACAGCTATAACTACAAATGGAGCTCATCCTAGCAAATGTGTCACCATACAGAGAACACTGGATGGACGGCTTCAGGTTAGTTTTAGAGTTTTGTGTGTCTTCTGTGATGGAAGAGTAATATTTTTAAATTTCCCCTTAAGTTACTGCCAATTTAATGTGAGTTCCATCTCTTTATGTATTTATTTCAAATATTTAAAGATTTCTTTTTATTACTTAATTCTGGAAGAGGCCAGAAGAGCATTCCCAGATGCTGGAATCCAGCTCTGCTCCTCATAGAGCATCAGGTATTCTTAATGCTGGGCCATCGGTTAAGCTCCATAGCTCTGCCTCTTGACATACTGTGCATCTATTGCCAGTGTGTATGATGAGAGTATGTGGAAGAATACTCCAAAGATGGATCTTAAGGGTTTTTTTTTTTATATGTTCTTATTAAAAACAGTTCAATGAAGAAAATCTGAAAAATAAATGAGAAGCCCTATATCTTGAGAACTACCTGTAGCACTTTGGTATTCATCACTTAGGTCACACTCCCCATATCTGCCAACCTTTTTGGGTATTGTAAATGCCCAAACTGATACATTGGACTCCTGTAATTTCAGTATGTTGTATTTTCCATTGGTATGAAACATTCACTGGTCACTTTTTCATGTAAATCAATATCATTTGTGTGAAGAAGTGTAGAAATGTGATGTTATATTTTTAAAAGTTTATCTCTAGATTTTCGGCATAGTTTTTAGATTTTAAAAACCTGAGTGCAGGCCCTGAAATTGAACTCTGGTTCAAATTCTTGCTCTGGTGTGTGATCCTGGATAGTTTATTTATTCTTTTTAGCTCGGCCTGACCTGGAACTTGAGGGTTTTTTCTACCTCAGCCTCCTGAGTGCTGAGATTACGGGTGCGTACTCCTTTGCTCCAGTTATTTTGAGCTTTGGATTTCTCATCTATGAAAGGATGGTTATAATCTGACATTGGCAGTGGAGGTGGGTGGGAAGTGAGACTCTCAAACCAGTTTTTCCTACTGTACACTCGACATATCTTTGGTGACCTTAAAAGGCTTGAAGGTCTCGTTTATCTCGGTAAATAAATAAGCACGTCTGCAGGTAATGCTCCTGAGCATCCTCTACTTCAGTTCATTTCTGACTCAGTCTGCTCAGAGATGCCAATCATAATCATCTGGTTATTTTACCTGTGCTTTCTGTCGCCTATAAAGGGTTCCCACAGTCCCACCCACGGTGCACTTAATTAACTCAAGCATCTCCCATAACTGAGGAAACCTTGTTTGGCATTATGAAGGGTATTGCAAAGGCCACAAATTGAAAGCTGCATAGGCAAGGTAAACCTCCATGCCCTCTCCAGGTAGACCAACTTCAAGGGACCACCTCCACATGCTTAGCCACCCCAAAGTTCCCAAGCCCTGTTCTTTGTTTTTTCCAGTCCAGGTTTCATTACCTAGATACAATTTTAAGTCATTGCTTGAAATGGCCCCTTTCCCTTCCGTAGAGGTTGGGCTAAAGTTCCAGCCTCTTCATTCTGCCTTAGTCTTTTCTGTGATCAGCCCCCATCCCGAAGATGCTTGGGAGCTGTAGCCTTCAGTCAGCTGGAAGCTAAGATTTCAGTTATGTGAAAGGATATATGAGCCAAACCATGTGTGTGTTTTGCAGTATCACAGATGCTGACTTTGTAGAATCTGAAGATTAATTGAGAACATAGATTAAGTCCTTTGTGTAATGTATAATATAAAGTTGATACTTAATCATTGATTGCTTCTTTTCCCAGGTGGCTGGTCGGAAAGGCTTTCCTCATGTCATCTATGCCCGTCTATGGAGGTGGCCTGATCTACACAAGAATGAACTAAAACATGTTAAATATTGTCAGTATGCATTTGATTTAAAATGTGATAGTGTCTGTGTGAATCCATATCACTATGAACGAGTTGTTTCACCTGGAATTGGTAAGTTGACTGTCGTTGCAGAACCTTTGTAGATGTATAAAGGGAAAAGACCCTAGTAATACTTTAATTTTCCTAATTTAAAACTTGTATTTGAAAATTACTCAAGACTTCAAATAAAGTTAAAGAATCAGAATTAAAATTTTGTTTTAGACAAGGTCTCATGTCCCAGGCTGGCCAAGAGCTGGCTATGTAGTCAAGGATGAATCTTGACCCTACTACTTCAGCCTCTTGAGCAGTGGAATTAGAGGTATGCACTACTATGTTTTGCTCAAGATTCAGATAATTTAAATGAAATGTAAATACTTACATCTGAACAAATTTGGGAGCAAATTTTTTTTTTACTACTAGAAATAAATATATAAAATTAATACTGTGCCTACGTTGTACATTGTTGAAAATAAGGTGGGAAGTATTATAAATTTAAACAATATATATAGCTAGGATTTACCCTACTTTTAAATTGAAATGGCTCATGAAGTTTTGCAATTTCTAGCTTAAATTGATGTTCTATATGTAATAGAAGATATGTTCATGATAATGATTTATGTTTCATTTTCTTTCCCTTAAAAAAAAAAGATCTCTCAGGATTAACACTGCAGAGTAATGGTAAGTAGCTTGTTTCTTGTAACTTTTCCTATTTCTTTTTTCATGTCTTATTTATTTTTTGTTCTCAAACAAGTGGTTTGTATAGGAGCTAGTAATACTAACAAGAAAATAATTTGTACTCTAAACATGTGAATTAACATTTAAAATTGAGCTTATTCAATTTATTTGTTTTATGTATTTGAGTGTTTTGCCTGCATGTATTTCTGTCCCCCATGTGTGTGTCTGGTGCCTGTGGATGCCAGAAGAGGCATCAAATCCCCTGAAAGTAAAGTTACAGATAGCTGTGAGCTACTCTCCTGTAGGTGCTGGGAATTGAGTCTGGGTAATCTAAGAGAGCAGCAAATTCTCTTAATTGCTGAACTATTCCTGGAGCTCCCTAATCATAGATTAAATTGACCTGGGCTCTCTGGGTTTGAACTGCCACTCATGAAGACACAAGGACACAAGTCTAATTAATGTTCAGTTTTAACAGGGTTTTTGTTTGTTTTTTGGGACAGGGTTTCTCTGTGTAGTCCTGGCTGTCCCAGAACTCACTCTGTAGACCAGGCTTTCCTCAGACTCACAGAGATCAGTCTGCCTTTGCCTCTCCAGTGCTGGGATTAAAGACCTGCACCACCACCACCACCACCACCACCCATTGACAAAGTAACAACTCTTTGTAAGAAAATCAGCTGGTGTAAATGGGTATCAGTAACCATAGTGTGTGATAATTTGGGATCATGTGTACCATATCTTACAAAAATATCTATTCCAGTTTTCTTCATTTCACCTTGATGTACTTTTATGAATGATAATACTGATGCTTTAAAATTATACATATTAATATTTTAAGAAGCATTTCAGGAAACAAAAGGCTAAAATAAAATGTTTTGAGGTTTGAAAATCCACTTGGTTTTCAATTTTGGGATTTTGGTATATAGGAAAATGGAATTCTTTAAATCTTTAGTTCTGATAACTTAGAACCTATTAACAAACTAAAATCTGAAAAAAACAGTTTGTGGAGATTCTCTGACACAGAGCCACCATCATCTTAAAATAGTGAGCTCTTCTGCAAGCAGGTAGTAGTAGTATGACGTTTCATTCTTTAGAATCTTAGAGGTGGGTCGGAAGATACCACATGACTTTAAAATTTTGGAAAAGGCTGTTTGGCTTTAGTTTCAACTTTTCTTCCATGTGCCTGGTAATAGAATCGTGCTGTTATTCTGGCTTACAGGTTTCTGAGAACTGCGGTTGGTGGTAGTGGAGCTGTGGTGGTCTGGAAATAGTAGCTTTAGGGTTGCTAAAAGCTCTGCCTCTGTCAACACAGGGTATCTTGTAAACATCCTTTGCGTTGTCACCATTCTCCATTAATAGTTTTTGGGAACTAACACATTTACTCAGTGGAAATTAGGGTTTAGGAAACTGTAGTGATGATTTCAGAATTCCCATATAGGTAGTTGTGAGGTTCCCCACAGGGATTGTGTGGGTTAGTATTCTTCCTTCAGGGAACACTAAGGCCATAGTCAGCCTTGTGGATCCCCCTAGTGGTAGTTTTGTAGACAGTTTTGCCTTGCTTATTTGCTTGGAAAACAGATTTTTCACATTTCATTTTTGAATTGGACAAAAAAAAAAAAAAGGTAGACCAGGTAATGAAAAGTTGAGAACAATGAAGCACTTCTCTTTACTTGTCAGTTAGGATCTTGTGGTTGTCATTTCTAGCATAGCTCATCTGTTTCATGAAACTCTGTGGCCACGGTGTTCCATGTATTCATTTTACAAATATTTAGTGCGTTTGTTACTGCCTGGTACTGTGCTAAGGTTTAGGGATGTTAAGAAAAATGTGGCATGTTTCTTCCTTCCATTCAGAGTTTTCAGTCTTTTGGAGGGAAGAAAAAGTTAGCAAGATAGCATGCTATCTATCGGGTGAGTGGCTTGCCTGTGGCAATGACAGAATGCCCAGTGTCTTAAGCTTATTCTTTGTCACCTATGGAGAATTTATTCTTTACCTCTCATACAAAGCTTCATCTTATAACTGGGCATATTCTTTAAAATATCTAGCAATTACTGAATGCTCATTTTGTGTAAGGTACTGAGCTAAGTGATTTGAGTGTCTTAGTGTTCTATTGCTTTGAGGAGAAGCCACAACCATGGTAACTTTTATAATTAGGGATAGCTTATGGTTTCAGAGGTTTAGTCCATTATCCTCATGACAATGACCACTGGCACCATGCAGGCATTCATGATGGCTTAGGATCCAAAAGCAGCAGGAAGAGAGAACGATACTTGGCTTGGCTTGAGCTTTTGAAACACTAGAAAAACCACTCCCAGTGAAACACTTTCTCTAACAAAGCCACACTTACTCCAACAAGACCATACCTGTCCCTCTCAAGTAGTACCACTCTCTCATGACCAATTCCCTAATGACCAAGCATTCAAATATGTGAGCCTATGGGGAGCCATTCCTATTCTGACTACCACAATAAATATTGTGTTAATTGTCCACTTAATGCTTTTCTCTGGTAGGTGAGGTCATCTTTACTTCTCCAGATTAGGAGACATGATCAAGGATCATGCTCAGCTAGGAGTTAAAGTAATGCTGGTATGCTATGAAATATTAAACAACAGAAAAGTGTTATAAAAAACTCAGGCTCCAGGAAGTTAGTCATATTTGTTTTTATCGATCTCATTTGTTAAAACAATATGTAGAACATGGATACTCAGTATGTATTTTTTTTTTCAGTAAATGCATTTGTTGAATATAGTTGAAACCCAGAAAGAGAAATGTTTTACAATTTGGTATCTGTGATGGCTATTTTTCAGACAGATACTGAATATTTGACAATGGGCCACAGTGTTACCATGTGACCTGAACTGCCCATCATAAGCTGGGTGTTATCTGATCCACCAATCCCTAAAGTAGGATATGCACAATAGCAATCCATTATCAAATGGAAGTGAACAGGTCTGAGGATATAAGCAAGTTACAGAAGCAAGTTGTCCAGATGCTTATGGTTTCGACTCTTGTTCAAATGTCTTCAGTTTCCAGGTATCTTCCTCTGGGCTCATGGGGTATTCCTTATGAATGGTTGACTAAGAAAGAGAAGACTAGTGCATGGTTTCCTGATGGTTTGGTATGTTATGCAGACACCACCCAGGACAACCCTGAAAGAGGCCAGAGAAAGAACATCCTCACAGTGGGCAGAACTCCAGACAGTATACACGGTTGTAGTTTTGCTTTGAAGGAGAAATGGTCAGAAACACAATTGTTTACTGATTCATTAGTTGTACCCAATGCTTTGATGGGATAGTCGGGGAGTTGCAAAGAACATGGTTAGAAAATTGGTGAGAAAGACATTTGAGGAAGATGTGAATCAATCTGTTTGAATGGGTAGCAAATATGAAGATACTTGGACACTTGTGTTCCATGTAAATGCTCATCAAAAGGTGACATCAGCAGAGTAGTTCAGGAATCAAGTAGATGGGATGAACTGTTCTGTGGACAGTCAGCCTCTTTCCCCAGCCATCCCTGCCATTGCCCAATGGGCTCATGAGCAAAGTGGCCATGTGGCACAGATGGAGGTTATGTGTAGATGAGATAACATAGACTTCCACTCATCAAGGCTGACCTGGCTATAGCTGCTGTTGGGTGCCAGATCTGCCAGCAGCAGAAACCAACACTGACCTCAGATATGGCACCATTCCCTGGGGTGGCCAGCGAGTAGCATGGTGGCAGGTTGACTACATTGGACCATTCGCTTCATGGAAAGGGCAACACTTTGTCCTTACTGGAATGGATACTTATTCTGATTATGGATTTCTGTTTCCAGCATGTAATGCTTCTGCAAACACTACTATCTGTAGACTTACAGAATGCCTTATCTAATATCATGTTATCTACACAGCTTCCTTCTGTCCAAGGAACTCACTTTGCAGCCAGAGAAGTGTGACAGTGGGCCCATGGTCATGGAATCCACTTGTCTTACTTTGTTACTCACCATCCTGGATCAGCTGGCCTGATAGTAGGATGGATCAGCCTTTGGAAGACAAAGTTTCAGTGCCGAATAGGTGGCAGTAGCCTGGAAGGCTGGGGCAGGGTTCTCCGGAAGTTAGCTTATGCTTTGAATCAGGATCAAATTATGGTATAGTGTTTCCCATAGCCAGGGTTCATGGGTCCAGGACTTTAGGGGTAGGAAAGGGAATAGTTACACTCACTGTCACCCCTAGTGATCTACTGGATTCTAAGGCCATGTAACCAGTTGCAGAAATGGGGTTTATAACTGACAGGAATGTTTCTGTCATACTTTGTTAAGATTGTGTTTGTTCAGATATTTGTGTTTTCTTTACTTTTATCTTGTAGTGTATCCTGTAGTAGAGGATAATTGTATTCTCCTCAATTGAGATAATATCATTGCTTAATTGTTTTTGATACTACAAAAATGTTCTTCAATAAACATTGTCACCTTTTCTAAAGTATGTAATGCATTTGGTTTTAAGTGGGATAGTATATCATGTTAAGTGTAATTATGACCTGGTTATTGCTTTTATTTGGAAATTGAGCATACATAAGGAGCTGTGGTTGTGTGTCAGGTTGACAAGGGATAGAGTTATGTTGGCTATTCTTGATTGTCAACTTTATTATATCTGAAATTAACTAAAAACCCAAGCAGTTGGGCATACCAGTGAGGGACATTTAGTTAATTGGATTATTTGAGGTAGGGAGACCCATGTTTAATTCAGATCATTTGAAGTTGAAAGACCGACCCACCATAAATTTTGGCTACACCTTGTTGCAGCCTGTATAAAAGACATGAAAGAAGGTTTTGCAGGCCTTCCTGTCCTCATTCTCACTGGCAAGTTCATATATCTTGCTGCTGAGGTATTCCTTCACTGGTGTGAGTCTTGTTCTTCAGGATTCTGATGCATACTGAAGACTGGCTGAGACACTCAGCCTTGAGGACTGAACAACTACTGGATTCTTTGACTTTCCTACAGGAGACCGCCATTGTCAGACTAGCTTGACC